ATAGACACATCTAAAGATGTTCCATCTTACTAGTCAAGGAAATAAATGCAGATAAAAAGTATGAGATGGGCAGAAATTGGTTTGGCAAAACTTCTTCTTAAATGGTAATGTCTAGTGTTTATGAGAACGTGGGGAAATGGATCCCATGGAACATTGTTGGGAGAAATCATTTGGTGTATGGACTTTTCAGAGGACAGTTTGGCAGGCTCTCTTGATTTAAAATGTGCATATTCTTTGAGTTAGCAAATCCACTTAAGGAGTCTGTCCTAAAAAATGCTTGTATGCGTATAAAGATTTGTATGTACACAGTCTTTTTTTTTTTTTTTGTATGGATGAGATTGTTTTTTCGTTTGGTAGATGTTCGTTGCACATTTAGTATGTCAGGCACTGCTGAGGGTACAATGCCTATAACACAACAGGCAAAAATCCCTCTCCTGAGGAAGACGGAAGAATTGATGCCTTTGAATTGTGGTGTTGGGGAAGAATATTGAATATACTGTGGACAGCCAGAAAGACAAACAAATCAATCTTAGAAGAAATACAACTAGACTGCTTCTTAAAGCAAGGATGGTGAGACTTTAGCTTGCTTGCTTGCTTGGACACATCATCAGGAAAGACTAGAAAAGGACATCATGTTTGGTAAAACAGAGGGTCGGTGAAAATGAGGGGAGACACCCTCAGTGGGATGGATTGACAAAATTGCAGCAACAATGGACTCAAACATACCGATGATCATGAAGATGACGCAGTCCCGCACAGTCTTTCTTACTGTTATATAAGGTCTCCGTGAGTTGGAGGCAACACGCCAGCAACGGACAACAACAGTGTGGAATTTGTATTCTCGTAGAGGGAGAAACTATACGCAAAATAAAGCTACATAGTTTATAAGGATGTGATAAGTGATACAGAGAAAAATAAAGGAAGAGAGTAGACAGTACCCAGATGAAGTGTTGCTGGATGGTCAGGAAGGGGAAGCCCCCACCAAGGAGGTGACATTTGAACAATGACTCAAAGGAGATGAGAGACTGAGTCCTGCAGATCCTGGGGGAAGAGCATTTCTATCGAAGGTAGTAGCAGTAACAGTAGTAATAACTAACACATACACTGCTGTGTGCCAAAAACTATTTAAATACTGTACGTACATTAACATGTTTAATCCTTACAGTAACTTCATGAAGTAGGTATTTTTATTATCGCCATTTTTCAGATGAGGAAACGGGAACCCACGGAGCTAATAAGTTGAAGAGCTGAAAGTTGAACCTAAGTAGTTTGGCTCTGGAGTTCATCTTCTTAGCAGTTGCTGTATAGTGTATTAGTTAAGACCTTGAGGTAAGAGAATAACCAGTGTGTTAGAGAAATAGCAAGGTTAGTGTGAGTGCAGCAGAATGAATGACGGAGAGAGTGGTAGGAGCTGAGGCCTGACAGGTGGGAAGATTTGACTGGACCTAAGCCACTGTAAAGACTGGGCTTTTACTCTGAAGTGGGGAGCCATTGCATAGTTTTGAACGGGGGAATGACATGATCTGACCAGCGTTTTTAAAGGACATTCTTTAATGGGTCCATGGACCTTTCTTCTCACAGAGTCCATGGGTAGAATTCAGAAGGGTCTAGGATCTTTAGAGAAAATAATTTTTATTTTCACTAACCTCTAACTGAAATTTAGAACTGCCCCATAGGGTTTCCAAGGCTGTAATCTTTACAGGAGCATATGCCACATCTTTCTCCTGGTGGGTTTGAACCGTCAACCTTTCAGTTAGCAGCCAAACCCTTAACCGCTGAGCCACCAGTGCTCCTTGAAATTTAGTACTTTCTTCATTTAATAATATAGTCAGTAAACCACAGTAGTATTAAAGATACTTGTGACTTTGGCACCACCCATAAAAACCACATTATTGTTGTTGCTGATATCCTGAAATGCCATGTATGCTTACCATTACTTTGAAATTATGGTAGTTATCAAGGAGCCCTGGTGGCACAATAGTTAAGTGCTCAGCTGCTAACTGAAAAGGTTGGCAGTTCAAACCTGCCCAGCAGCTCTGTGAGGGAAAGACCTGGCAGTCTGCTTCCATCAAGATTACAGCCTAGAAAGCCCTATGGGGCAGTTGTACTTTGTCACGGGGGTCACTATGAGTTGAAAATTGACTTGATGGCACACAACAGCTAGATCCCATTTAATGCCATAATAAAGAAGCGCATGCATTACAGTTCATTTTTTTCATATTTACATATTTTGGTTTTATATTTTGATAACTATATATCAGTAAAGGAGCCTTGGTGGTGCAGTGGTTAAGCTCTCAGCTGCCAACTGAAAGTTGTAGGTTCAAACCTACCAGCCACTCTGGGGGAGAAAGACGTGGCAGTCTGCTTTTGTAAAGATTATAGCCTTGAAAACCCTATAGGGCAGTTCTGCTGTGTCCTGTCGGATTGCTGTGAGTCGGAATCCACCTGACAGCAACAGGTGTTAGGTTTTTATATATCAACACAGTTGGTTTTCTTTGTAGTCTCATGTTTTGTTTTTTTTAATTTTGTTTTTATTTTGTTGTTGAGAATATACACGCAAAACATAACACCAATTCAACAGTTTCTACATGTTCAATTCAATGACATTGATGAGTTGTGCAACCATTCTCACCCTCTTTTTGGAGTTGTTCCTCCCCCATCAACATAAACTCACTGCCCCCTAGGGTTCCTGTCTGATCTTTCTAGTTGCTGTTGTCAGTTCGATCCCATACTGGTAGTTCTTAAAAGAGCATAATGCTCAAGGCAGACATTTTTTACTAGTTAAACGAAACTATTTTTTGGTTTTAGGAAGACTCCAGGGGATATTTTTTGGTATAAGGTTTGACGATTATCTCAGGGCAATAGAATCAGGGATTCATCTAGCCACCGTGACTCTAAGAAGTTTGGAGTCCATGAAACTTTGAAATTCTTGTCTGCATTTCCCCCTTTTGATCAGGGTTCTTCTGTTAAATCTTTGATGAAAACGTTTAGGAATGGTAGCCAGGCCCCATCCAGTTCTTCTGGTCTCACAGCAAAGGAGACAGTTGTTCATGGAGGCAGTTAGCCACATTCCACTTCTCCTATTCCTGTCTCTTCTTCCCCTGTTGCTCCAGGTGAATAGAGATCAATTATTTTACATTGGCTGGTCCTTGCAAGCTTTTAAGACTTCAGGCACTATGCAGCGAACTAGGAGGTAGCACAGAAGCGGTGACCATGTTATTAAGCCAGTTAATTGGGGTGTCCCATGAAACCATGACCCTAAACTTCCAAACCAAGGAACCAAATCCCATGAAGTGGAAGTGTTTGGTTGTACATTAGCAGCCTCAGCACCTACACTTTTTTTTTGTTTTTTTGTTTTTTTTTTTTGGTCGTTGTTGTAAATATATCACACAACTTTGGACAGTTCAGCTTTTTACAGGTGTATAGCTTATTGACACCAATTACATTAATCAGCTGTGCAGTCCTACCCCTAATCAATGTAATTTTTCTGTCACCATAAACCAAAACTCAGTACTCCATAGGCAATAACCCCCCCTTTTCCCCTACCTCCCACCCCTAGTAACCTCTAATAAACTTTGATCTCTATACTTTTGCCTTTTCTTGTCTTTTTTAATACCTGATGTCATACAATACTTTCGTTTTGTGATTGACTTTTTTCACTCAGCATATCATAATGTCTTCAAGCTACATCCATATGTATTTCTTTTCTGTATTTAAAAGCACTATTCTGAGATGGTAGCCATAGATGTCACCAGACTGCCAAAGGAGTCTGTGATACACAAAATTAAGACTCTTTGGAGGATTATTCTGGTTGTTGTGATACAAGTGAATTGAGGAGGAAGGTAGAGGGCAGGCGTAGAAGGAGGGTTACACTTTAGGAGGTTTTTGCAGTAATCTAGGTAAGAGATAAGAGTGAGTTGGATCAGAGTAGTGGCAGAGGGGAGGTAGTGATATGTGGATTAGGGTATGTTTCAAGGTGGAGCCATCAGAATTTGCTGATAAATTGAATGTGTAATGTGAGAGCGAAGAGGATTCAAAGCTGGCTCTAAGGTTTTTGGCTTGCACAGTTGAAAGGATGGAGTTGCCATTTGCTGCGATGGAGGTGGAGTAGGTTTGTTAAAGATCAAAAATTCCATTTTGAATCTAAGTTTGAGATATTTATTATACGTCTAATTAATACTTTGTGACTTGCTATTTCCATTTAATGTGTCTTGACATATGCAGTCATTAGAGTGAGGTGAATCTATATGTAGAAAGACCTTGAACATATATTGTTCTGAACATTTGAATGCTTTACAGTGAGCATGTGTCCGTGTGGTGGGTAACTTAAAAAGAGATGCATGTGTGCAAAAATAAGAGAGTAGTTATAGTATATGTTAGAATAGTTACATGGTCATTAGAGAGAATGAAGTAGATCTGTATATGCCACCACGGAAGATCTCTAAGATCTATAAATAAGATAAACAAAAAACAAGGTGAAGAATAGGAAAAAAATGTGTCAGAAGCATAGTAAATTTAATAGTGCTTACTTTTAGGGGAAGAGACTGTGGGTTTTCCCCTGCCTTTTTTTTTTTTTTTTTTTTTTAATAGTTGAATTTACTAACCTTGTTCATGTATTAACTTTGTAATGTCATTGGTTCACCTGAGTGGTGCAGCTATAGCTCTTTTTAGAGAGAGCCTGTAATCACACTTAAAGTTCTTTGTACCTCTGTATTTTTATAGGCCTTATGTTAGAGTTTTTTTAATTACGATATATCTAGTATTATAGAGCTAGTAATAGTTTTGATGAGGTTTTCAATATTTGGGAATGTTGATGTGAAATGAAGATAGAAAATCATCTCTATATAGTATACTCTTTATTATGACTAAAATATTACTTAATATACATATATAACTAGGAGAAAAAATTTGAGAGTATGCATTAAAATATCAATAGTGGTTTTCTTTGGGTGATGGGAATTTGAGGTGATTTCAAAACATTTTTCTTTAATTTCTTGCAGACGATGAGAAGACAACGAAATGAAGTTGTAGTTGAGTTAAGGAAGGTGAGTCTGATTAATATTGGGTTACTCCCAGGAATAGCTCCAACAACATTATAGCATGTACATACACATATCTCCAGAAAGATATCAAATGTATATTATATTTTTATGTAAAATGTTTATCTTGTATGACTAAATTTTTATTTACTGAATATAGTTAAGCTTTTTTTAAAGATCTCAAGTGCTTAGTATTTCTTTTCATTTTGAAAAATGAAAAATTTTGACTAAATTTGTTAAGCTGTTGAAGTTGGCAAGATATAACTTGCCCACTATCCTAAAATAGAGATAACCAACAAGTTTCCAGATGATTTTATTGTCTCTAATTTTTAATGATTTATATGAAGTGTAAATCATAGAGATAATTGTACTAAATCGCTCTGCTATTTATAAGTTACTAGTTATGCATGAAAAGAACTTACTTAAAAATTTTATCAACTTTCTAAGTAGGTTATATGTGAGAATATATTTGTATAATTTGCCCCAACCATTTTAAGTAAAATTCAAGTGGCTCTCGGTTTTTGTTCTAATTTTGAACTGCCCAACGTTTGCTTTGACTCTGCTTTTAGGTGATAAAGAGGAGCGCCCAGATGATGTACACAACGGTTTAGTCCTTCTAAATGAATGTGTGTGTTTGGTTCTGGTTTAAACTGTACGCTATCTTTTTTAATTTAGAAAAATTCTTTTTTTAATAGATCACGGTTCATGAAAAATGCAGTATTTGGGGTTTGGGGTTCATAGTAATGTGGCGTGTTTAATTCACAGTTTGGTTTAATTATCTGCTTTTGAGTTTTACTTTTAAAAAGCGCTTAATATTTCAGTGTGTAGGCACAATATTGCCTAACCTTTGTAAAAAAGTGTTCAGGTAATTTTTTAATTGAAGTTCCTTTTTTATTTTTTAAGAATAAAAGAGATGAACATCTCTTAAAGAGAAGGAATGTACCACATGAAGATATCTGTGAAGACTCTGATATAGATGGTGATTATAGAGTGGTATGTTGTTGTTATTCTGATGATATAAAATTACCAGTGAAATATTTTACAGAAATACAGAATTTCAAGCTTTTAACTACATTTTCTCTGTAACTTTTTTCCCAGCAAAATACCTCTCTAGAAGCTATTGTTCAAGTAAGTTTTTTTTCCTCTCTCTTCGTTTATATTTTTGAACTTAACTGATTATTTATCTACATCATAAATTGTTTCTTTTTTTTTTAATAGAATGCTTCAAGTGATAACCAAGGAATTCAACTAAGTGCAGTTCAAGCTGCTAGGTAAGTTAAGTTTTGAGGATATAGTTTAACTTTTACTTACACAGGAGTTCCGTTTTGGGCTTTTGTTATAGAGTAAAGCCTGACAATCAAATTAAATTTTGATGACAAACAATAGAAAACAATCATGCACCAAGTTGTTCTCTAATTTAAGTATTAAAATTGGTGGCAATTTTTTAAACTCATAAATACAATGAAGCTATAGTGTCCATAAAAGATGCTAGGGAAAAATTGATTTGACAGGTTAATGACATAAATGAATTGAAAAGCATTATAAAATCTTACCTTTACTAATTAATAGGTTTAATCTTATAAAAAGTCAGGCTCTTCAAATCCTGCCCAGGTAGCTAATTTTTCTCATCATCCTCATATTGATCAAGCAATAAATCAAGAGTTAATAAGCTTCTATCAGTGTTATAGGCAAGAAGATTTAGGGCCACAAACACCTCTACTCTCTTTCCAGGTAGGAATACCAAGTTATTTTGCACATTTCTGTTGTGAAACCCATGCTGTCATAGATGGTTTACAGGAAAAGCCAGAAAAACTGATTACTAAGACGTTCATATTAAATAGTTTGAGGAAAACGTGACTATGTCACAGAATATGGTGGTTGCTTTGTATATTTATGAATTTAAGAGTAAATATCTTATGTTGTGATTATCAGTGAGAAAGAGACACTTTAGCAAGAAATTGACTTGTAGAATTTCAGAGTGGAAAGAGATTTCACAGGTTCATCCAGTATCTTATTCAGGGCATAGGATCTCTTATATTTACTTAAGTTTTCCTACTTTTGTATATTCAACCTTAAATAACCTAGAACAGGTAAGGAAGTTATTGAATTACAGTGTTCTCCACTGCAGATAAAAGAACTTCTTTGTTATGTAGGCAGAAAATCGCAGAAGTGGTCACACCTCAAAATGGCACATTAATGCTTATAGGAAAAAAGAATGAGAAGTTGATAAAATGGTCATTATGTTCACCATCGTCAGAGCTGATTATTTGATGGTTTTCGGGCAGCCCTTGACCTAGGTTCTGCAAGAAAATTAAGCCCTAATTGTCCCTAAGGTGGTGGTTGTTGTTAGGTGCCATTGAGTCAATTCCGATTCATAGCGACCCTATGTAGAACAAAACGAAACACTGTCTGGTCCCACGCCATCCTCAAAATTGTTGTTATGCTTATGCCCATTGTTGCAGCCACTGTGTCAGTCCATCTTGTTGAGGGTCTTCCTTTTTGCACTGACCCTCTGCTTTACCAAGCATAATGTCCATCTCCAGGGACTGATCCCCCCTGATAACATGTCCAAAGTATGTGAAACATAGTCTCGCCATCCTTGCTTCTAAGGAGCATTCTGGTTGTACTTCTTACAAGACAGATTTGTTCATTCTTTTGGCAGTCCATGGTATATTCAGTATTCTCCAACACCACAATTTAAAGGCATCAGTTCTTCTTTGGTCTTCCTTATTCATCTTCCAACTTTCACATGCATATGAGGCGATTGAAAACACCATGGCTTGGGTAAGGTACACGTTAGTCTTCAAGGTGACATCTTTGCTTTTCCACACTTTAAAGAGATCTTTTGCAGCAGATTTGCCCAGTGCAGTGCATCTTTTGATTTCTTGACTGCTGCTTCCATGGGTGTTGATCATGGATCCAAGCAAAATGAAATCCTTGACAACTTCAGTCTTTTCTCCATTTATCATGATGTTGCTTATTGGTCCAGTTGTGAGGAATTTTGTTTTATGTTGAGGTGTAATCCATACTGAAGGCTGTGGTCTTTGATCTTCATCAGTCAGTGCTTCAAGGCCTCTTCACTTTCAGCAAGTGAGGTTGTGTCATCTGCATAACACAGGTTGTTAATGAGTCTTCTTCCAATCCTGATGCCCCATTCTTCGTCATATAGTCCAGCTTCTCGGATTATTTGCTCAACATACAGATTGAATAGGTATGGTGGAAGGATATGACCCTGACGCACACCTTTCTTGACCTTAAACTGCGCAGTATCCCCTTGTTCTGTTTGAACAACTGCCGCTTGATCTATGTACAGCTTCCTCATGAGCACAATTAAGTGTTCTGGAATTCCCATTCTTTGCAGTGTTATCGTAATTTGTTATGATCCACACAGTTGAATGCCTTTGCATAGTCAATAAAACACAGGTAAACATCTTTCCGGTATCCTCTGCTTTCAGCCAGGATCCATCTGACATCAGCAATGATATCCCTTGTTCCGTGTCCTCTTCTGAATCCGGCTTGAATTTCTGGCAGTTCCCAGTCGATATACTGCTGCAGCCGCTTTTGAATGATCTTCAGCAAAATTTTCTTTGCGTATGATATTAATGATATTGTTTGATAATTTCCACATTTGGTTGGATCACCTTTCTTGGGAATAGCATAAATAATGGATCTCTTCCAGTCGGTTAGCCAGGTAGCTGTCTTCCAAATGTCTTAGCATAGATGAGTGAGCACTTCCAGTGCTGCATCTGTTTGTTGGAACATCTCAGTTGGTATTCTGTCAGTTCCTGGAGCCTTGGTTTTCGCCTTTGTCTTCAGTGCAGCTTGGACTTCTTTCTTCAGGACCATCGGTTCCTTATCACATGCTACCTCCTGAAATGGTTGAACGTCGACCACTTCTTTTTGGTGCAGTGACTCTGTATTCCTTCTATCTTCTTTTGATGCTTCCTGCGTCGTTTAATCTTTTCCCTGTAGAATCCTTCAATATTGCAACTCGAGGCTTGAACTTTTTCTTACAGTTCTTTCAGCTTGAGAAATGCCGAGTGTGTTCTTCTCTTTTGGTTTTCTATCTCCAGCTCTTTGCACATGTCATTATAATACTTTGTCTTCTCAAGCCTCCCTTTGAAATCTTCTGTTCAGCTCTTCAATTTCATCATTTCTTCCTTTTGCTTTAGTTACTCGACATTCAAGAGCGAGTTTCAGAGTGTCTTCTGACATCCATTTTGGTCTTTTCTTTCTAAAGCAGGGATTCTCAAAAGCATGGTCTGGATCCCTGGAAGGCCCTGAGATAATAATAATTCTGAGACCTTATAGTAATTCTGAGACCTTATAGTAATTCTGAGACCTTATAGTAATTCTGAGACCTTATAGTAATTCTGAGACCTTATGTGCCTTTTTCCACTTTGTTGATGTTGACACTGATGTTGCCAAAGCAGCGAAGGGTAAAGCTGCTGGCACCTTAGCACAGATCAAGACAGTCGCACCAAACTGATTTTATTATGTTTTGTAGATTTCATATTTTTCACTATCATGCACTCAGAGGGGAAAAAAAAAGGCCATTTCTTTCAAAAAGAGCTACAAAAAAGCAGTAATTTTTAAAAAATTAAATCTTGACCCTTGATTGCAGTCTTAAATATTATGTGTGACAAAAATGAGAACTGCGTAATGAATTAACTTCTCTCTTTTGCATGTGGAATGGTACTAGCTATGTATCATCCTTGGGAAAATTGAGAAAATTTCACTGATATCATTTTCTGTAAGGCTTAATTCTCTTGTGGAATCTTGGCTGAGAAAGGCTGGGTTAAGACTTTTACAAGTTTTTTTTTTTTTTTTTTGGCTTACTTTGAGCTAAGTACTGTTCAGTGTTTTGTAGAAGATGCTGTGAAAATAGCATGTGTTATAATTCTTGCTCTTTAAGAAGCTTAGAAACTAATTGGGAAGGCAACACTACACAACAATAGCGATACACAACAGCAAGTGTAAGACTGTAATGTACAGATACTCCAGGAGATCAGAGAGGGTATTGTGAAAAATACAGAACTTGAAATGAACATGGAAAGGTATTCAGAGTTTGGAGTAGATAGAAGAGAGGACATCTAAGTGAGATGAATTGGATGTGAAAGGCCTGGAAATGGATTGAAATTGTGCAGTAGACGTAACTGACCTGTTGGTGAGTTGCAGAGAATAAGATTAGTTAGGTAAAATACAGCCAACTCATGGAGCAGTTTAAAAGCTAGGTCAGTGTTTACATTGACAGGGTAGTAAACAAGCAGCCAGCAGTTGGTTTATATAGATGAATGATCTAATTAAGCTTTCTTAAACTTTGCATTTATTTATCTAGTAGTATGGGGAGTTTGAATGGGTGAAGATTTGTGTTAGGCCACATAGAGGACTTACTGGCTGAACCTGCAGTCTGCTCTGTGTGTAAATGGGCACACAGAGGACTTACCGGCTGAACCTGCAGTCTGCTCTGTGTGTAAATGGGCACACAGA